CCTATGTCCTCCAGCAGTCTAAGCCTATAGCAGCAGAACTATAGAGATAGCTCAGGATAACCTGAGCCACTCTAACTAGAAGCTTTATCAATCAGCTGCTGCTGATTGCTTGTTCTACATCTCACTTCCCCCCCCACCCCTGCAAACATAAAAAATAATAAAATAAAAAAGACTATTTGTCTCAAAAAATATTTTGATGACAAAGAGCTGTGTTTTATTTTTTTGACAAAGCTTGGATGTTAATAATTTTACATCCTAATAAAGATCAGATTATTTAATTAAATCAATAATTAAGACATTTTCGTACTTTTTACCTTATCTGTACTACTTTTAATTGTTGCATATTAACAAGGATTCACTGACCCTGTATCCCATAAAAGGCAAACTGTTGTGATTTCAGACTTATTTGGCACCCAGTAAAACATTTTATCCTTCTTGGCCTTTCAGTGGAGATTTGCTACAATGAGTTTTTTCTTTAAGCTCTATGTGAACGGTTGAACTGCTCAAATAACAAATAAATAGAACAGACACTTTGGATGTTTTGTAAAGTCGTTCAGAAGAAAATAAGCTGTTAAAAGTAAAATGTCTGCACCGCATTTAATCCAAGCTCTAATTGTTTTGTTTATGTAAATGTCCTTGAGATTCCCCAGGTGCATTTCCACTCAGCTTCATTTTCATTCAGAAAACAAACCTGGAGGAATAACAGCCCAACATCAATTTAGGTCCATTAACCCAATGAGTCAACAAGGTGGTTCAGAAAAGTCAGGTTTTTAGATGATAATCTGAGCAACCCGATAATCTCACGTCACAAGGTCAGGTTGGTATTTAAAAGCATCTTATCTGGTGTAGAAAAATGTTTTTTTCACACCACTGCTGAGTGAAACGTGAAGCTTTACACAACTGAAAAAAAAACAAAAGCCATCCTCCTGCTCCAGATTGAAAAAGTCAGATTTCTGGGTGATGAGACCATTTAAAACGGACAGGAAGTGGTTTGGTTTGAGTAAAAACACCTGCAGAAGAGGCGGGAGGCAGATGGCAGTAACTAGGGAAGATGCTCAGGAGTAGATCGGAAACAGACGTCTAAGTTGGAGTAAAGAGAGACAAGATGGCCGACTGAACAAAGATTGAAGAAGACGGGGAGGAATGGATCAGAAAACGAGTTTATTCCCCCTTTCCTACTGGCTGAGAAACCAGTTCAAACCGGGGAACATATTGGATTTTAGGCTACGTCCACACAGCAGTCTGAAGTGACACAAATCCAAATCCAATATATTTTTTTTTGCCCATATGCGACCTGGATCTGATCTTTTCATGAGTCTGAACAACTCCGATCCAATTTTTCCCTATGCGTCCCAGTCCACTTAGCTCTGTGGTCCTGAATCCGATACGAATCTGATCTTTTCAAATGCGACCTGTGTCTGAACGGCCAGGTCGCATTCATCTGACATGAACTACATTAATACCAGACAGAGGTCACTATTCTGCGTCTTGCTATGAAGAAGCAGCAAGAAAAACAACAACCATGGTGGATGATAATGCAGAGAGCAGTATTTATGTTTAACCGTATTGAAATTAATTGTGTTTTAAAAAGTTGGTAAATATCGCTGGATGCACTCCAGTGCTAGCATCCATGTTAATTTCCGTAAACACAAAGCGCGCTGGCTTGTGACATCATTGCGTCCTCAACTGCACATGCGGGACACTTGCGTTGTATGAATGCAGTTCACACAGGAGATCACATACAAGTCGCATATATTTGGAAATATGAACGGCAACGCAAGAAATCGAATTTCACAAAAATCGGAATTGAGCGTTAAAGACCTGCAGTGTGAACGTAGCCTTAGTGACAGTCAGACCAGCACACTGACGCATGTCTGCTCGGGTTAAACGACATGACAAGCAACCCGTGTTAAAATCACCTCGCTCTGATCGGCATCCTGCGGGAACACCAGAGCCGGTTTGACCCACTAAATTACGCAACACCATTGAACGCAGCATATGGCCGTCAACACACTGCGCCAGTCGCTTCTGATCTAACAAGCAGAAACAGCTCTGTTTCCACTGGATAAACATGGAGCAGCTCTGGTCAGAGGGATTCAGATAATAGAGAGAAACAATAAAGCACACCGACTACGACCTGGCTTCCTTCCATGTTGCTTTCCATTGTTTACTCTCCTAATTTCTGTCGCACTGGTGACATCATCAAAGCTAACCCAGTGTGATGGTGTCATCAGTCACTTAGCTGAGGGGGGGTCAGAGGCCACGCAGTTGCCAGCGAGGGGTAGACCAGCATTATTTGCCAGTGGGAAGGAACCCAAATGCTGATT